TATGTCGCTAGGGACGTCAGTAAAAGAACAACTTGCATCAGATAGAGCCGGTTGTTGCAGTTACAGACCAATGCTGTCGTGAGCCAGCAGATGCATGCTACTTCATGTTATGAAAAAGAACGTGATGTATTGGATAATCAAGATGAGTGGCGAACTGCCCTATTTGCAGAGCATGATAGCAAGAAGACACGAAAACACATTTGCTTGTTTTCAGGTCGATATTATATACAAACAGAACTTATTATAAAATCACGAATGTGTGGTGGTCTTAAGTCAAGACGCGATACACACGTCGGTACTATTACGCGAGACTGAGGTTATAAATGCAACGATCACGTATCTGTTTGATACGGTGCGTTTCTGCAGGATTTATCTGCTGAAGTTTGGTGCTATTGCTGAATACAAGGATCAAGACACTGTGCGCAGAAAAGAGTTCCAGAGATAACAGATATCAGAGAGTGAGTGGTTTAAAGATGTTTTGAAACAGTCTACGTGTCAACTTCACGTGGGAGATAAGTTTAAAGTACCATATAAACCTCTAGGACAGGGAACCTTAAAAAACGAAAATATGGGGCGAAAATAAATTTAAAAATACGATGATAAACGAGACAGTTATTTCATTTGGCCTGATGCCAGTATCAACTGCTGAGGCACGAGACAGAGAAGGTTCCATCGATAGATAATGACAACATGTGGATGTTTAATTGAAACATGGGGCGCCATATCTTACCTTGCATTTCTGAATGGTTACTGAATGGACAGTTTTTCCCACTGCGCTCTTCTACCAGATAAATCGCAATTTCATATTCACCGCTGGGAAAGTTCTTCGAGGGATATGATTGTATTATCTCGAACATGAACACAATCAAATTCAGTACAGCTAACTTAACGGGGCGTATCCGATAAAAATGCAGGGCCGATAACATTGGATGTGTTTACAATGTCTGCCAGGCCAGGGTAAGGAAGACATTTTAAAAGAAACGGGGGTGAGTGAGTATGGTTTTACTCCGCCTTTAGCAATATTCTAGCAATATCACGGCGGGGGACACAGAAATGGGCTTCACGCATTGTTCCGTTGTCGGGAATCGAAACCGGGTCTTCGGCGTGACGAGCGAACGCTTTAACCACTAGGCTACCCCAACGAGAAACGGGAGAAATTAATGCTGGTAAGATACCTTTGTTCTCAACCGGTGCCTCTGGGTATAAGGTGTGATGTACCTAGGCTCCAGGGATAAAATCAACTCGCACACAAGGTGCTTCACACCATATACCTCTCTAAACAGGTCGACAACTAATAATGTACTGGTAGTCCCATGTCCCCTGCATCCCATGTCGGGGCGGTGGGGTAGCCTAGTGGTTAAAGCGTTCGCTCGTCACGCCGAAGACCCGGGTTCGATTCCCGACATGGGTACAATGTGTGAGGCCCATTTCTGGTGTCCCTCGCCGTGATATTGCTGGAATATTGCTAAAAGCGGCGTAAAACCATACTCACTCACTCACTGCATCCCATGTCCCGATGTCACATTGGCCACAAGTAATTCATTTGACTGTCAATTGTGCACTGGCTACGGAATACTGTTATCTTTGCATGCAAGGAGACTCTGGTACGTTGACAAACAATTTGGAACAGAGCCTCTGTTTTCGGTTCACTGTTGTAATAATCGTTAAACTTGCCTGAAGATAATTGGTGGAAAGACGAAGCCAGATGAGCCCAATCATTCTGGCGACATGCGCATATTGGACGGAGAAGTGTTGCTTAGCTACATTGCCACACACCTGTGAGATCGTGGTCGCTTCAGACCAGATTCTTGAAGTGTTTCAAGATTATCATTTGAGGCCGTTTTGGTTTTTTTTGGGTGCAACGATCACTTCAAATAAGTATACATGTGGGTGCAACGATCACGTCAAATAAGGGTACGTGTGGGTGCAAGGGTCACGTCAAATAAGGGTACGTGTGGGTGCAACGATCACGTCAAATAAGGGTACGTGTGGGTGCAAGGGTCACGTCAAATAAGGATACGTGTGGGTGCAACGATCACGTCAAATAAGGGTACGTGTGGGTGCAACGATCACGTCAAATATGGGTACGTGTGGTTGCAACGATCACGTCAAATAAGGGTACGTGTGGGTGCAACGATCACGTCAAATAAGGGTACGTGTGGGAGCAACGATCACGTCAAATAAGGGTACGTGTGGGTGCAAGGGTCACGTCAAATAAGGGTACGTGTGGGTGCAACGATCACGTCAAATAAGGGTACGTGTGGGTGCAACGATCACGTCAAATAAGGGTACGTGTGGGTGCAACGATCACGTCAAATAAGGGTACGTGTGGGTGCAACGGTCACGTCAAATAAGGGTACGTGTGGGTGCAACGATCACGTCAAATAAGGCTACGTGTGGGTGCAAGGATCACGTCAAATATGGGTACGTGTGGTTGCAACGATCACGTCAAATAAGGGTACGTGTGGGTGCAACGATCACGTCAAATAAGGCTACATGTGGGTGCAACGGTCACGTCAAATAAGGGTACGTGTGGGTGCAACGATCACGTCAAATAAGGGTACGTGTGGGTGCAACGATCACGTCAAATATGGGTACGTGTGGTTGCAACGATCACGTCAAATAAGGGTACGTGTGGGTGCAACGATCACGTCAAATAAGGCTACGTGTGGGTGCAACGGTCACGTCAAATAAGGACACGTCACTCAGCACGCTACACATGGGTCCACAGCTTGATTTGAATTTCATGCTAGTCTTTATTTGTGGTGTTGACCTTGGGAGCCATGTGCTCACAGCGCTGTGGCAGATCTTGATAGGTCTGGCGAGGATTTGATGGTATTTCAAAGGTAATAGGATTGGTTCTCTGAATACACATAGCATCTGAGATGAGACGCTCTCTCCCATTGTAAGATTGTTTGCTGGTGCCATTGGGCCAGGTTCAGTTCTGATTATCGACACGTCATGTTTCACATGGGACTATTCATAACACGCTCTGTCAGCAGTGCATCCAGACGCCCTTAAGATGTCTCGGTCAGAACATAGCCATTTCCCGGATCGACCTTGACAACCTTTGTCACAATGGCATGTGATTATTCAGTCGGAAAAACTGACATATACAGAATATACAAAGTGGTTATTGAAAAGTCCTCCTAGAAGCAACATTTTCATTAATGAAACGCCACTGTCGTCGAACGACAGACAACAAATGGATGACAGTCAACACGTTTCCAATATCTAATATTGTCCTTTAGCACTAAGGCAAATCGTGTGGTAAATATAAACAACTCTATTCAATGCAAATTTATTTTCAGGTTTTGTATGTTTTCGTGATTACATATGCTATAATAACTGTATCACGTAACAAGGAAATCTATATTATATATATTTTAAAATGATCCAAAGTGAACAAGTACTTGTCTATGTCATCCATTACAGCCAGTGACTTAATGATATTTTCCGCGTCGCCGTTTTGACACACACTCATGTAGGCCAAACATTGTAACCAACCAATCCTTCTACAATAAACATGGTACTGGGAATGTATTCAAAACAGCGGAATCAATACGGGAGTCAGGGGGACGATTACCACATCAACCCTCTCCACACAAATGAATCTGAATTAGGCAGTTGTTAATCTGCCTGACAAACAGTAGCAATATGTCATTCCCTAAATGTCCATGGAGTTGGTATCCAGTGGGTGCAATTGTATAAAATGGGGATTAGTAACAGATTGTCTTCATCCGTAAACGAGGTCTATTATAAAGGATTGGGGTTATTCATCACCCATTCTCAACGAACTTCAACTGCCACGTCATGGTATTGTCGGTACCTGCAGAATGACGACCAGAGCATGCTAATGACTGTGACATAACCGCGGTGTCGGATGTGAGGACACTCTCTACAGCAAGCCTTAACTATAGCTTTCGTATAGCATCGATCGGAGGTAATTGCAGCACAAGCAAATTAGTATAACAGCATCCTCATCAGGGATGGATTATGTATACGTGCTTGTTAGCACAATGATCAGCGTATGTATACCTCCTTTAACCTTAACTCGAAAGCTGTGATAATTAACATTACTAATATCTAATGATGGTTTCAAGAATTAAGCCACGCATCTAAATATGTCTCATTTGATTTTTTTCGTTGACGTGGAAGTAAGCATGCCAAAAATCCACCCGACTGTTGAAGTAAATATATATTCATTGACCACATTTCTAGACCACTTGTCTGATTGGTTTATAAAAAATTATGTTACAATGTATACTCACATGTAAGTTTAAGTTCAGAAATGTAGAAATTTAAAAAAAAGAAAAAACTGTATAATAATTAACCTTTTGAATATGAAGTAGGATTAGCAAAGTCACCGGATAAGGTGAGCTAAAAGGTGAAAGGTTTCACATACGTTTTAACACATTATCCTCCGCCCATGTTGTGTATGATTACAGAAATATCCGCTATGTACATGACATACACACGACAGTACATTAGCATCAGAAATGCCCGTTTAGATCAATGGAGCACAGCAGCCAGTAATAGAACTATAACCACTTTTCCAGTTGCCTTCATATAATATCAACAACTACAGCCGCTACACAAGGCAAGGTATTCATCGGCCATCGGTACCAGCTTTGCGTGTAAACGTGCTGATGAACTGGCGCTGATCTGATAGCCCCTAACGTAATCAATGGCGAGAATTGGAATATGGGGCAATTGGGCACATCCAGTTTGGGTTAACACCACATGGCACTAAATAACATGGATTAAATGAATAAACAAACGTATTAACAGTAAACACATCCCCGAGGTATGCGTTGCAAAATAGTGGTCGTGTAAGCGCTAATCCCTGTTTGTTGTTAATTGCATTGGTTGCTCGGAAAGTACAGTTGTCTGAGACAGTAACAGCAGTTGAGTATATACACATGATGAATATGTATATATATTAGCAAAACCCACATGCTGTCAATGTGAGGCTACGAATGGATTGTGTGTGTACTCACCACTGATGTGTCGCTGTCGTTGTCGTCTGCTACACACGAAGCCTGGTGCCTACTTCGTACACTTTTGAAAGAGCCTCCAGAAGAGGCCCTCTCTCTCATATCTCCATCGGAATGGGCATCTTTGGTAACTCTTTTCTCCCTGGGTTTAGATCTGCTATCGGTTCCTAATCTCTTAAAGAAGCGCGAGATACTCTCTGACCGCTGACTTGCATGGCCCACCGAGTCCGTCAACCGTCTACCATGGCTGCGGGGGGTGGGCTTCAACGACAAGGCGTTTTTTACCAGCGATATTTGCTCGTTGAGCAGTTCAGGCCACAGGCTGAGGGGACAGATACCCAAGTGGTTTTTAATTCTTATTTTACCTCCGTATTTTATAAGGTAATAGGCACAGTCCCAGTTAAAGAACTCCGAACAGCAGGCCACATGAAGAGGAGTACATCCATACCTGTCTTGAACATTGGGTAGAGCTCCGTACCTCAACAGGAGATGGAGAGCATGAGGCTTCCCCTCTATAACCGCTATGTACAGAGGTGGTAAGCTGTACAATTCTTCTGTGCTATAAATTCTCGCAAAATCGAACTCTCCCTCAGTAGTAGACTCGATGATTTCAGGGAGTCGGTCATGTTGCAAACCTCGCGGCACGTGGCTCGCGCTGCTGACTGAATCCACGGCCACCGACACTGTTGTGGTATTTTGGCTGATCTGCCCTGGGCAGTGTTGACGATGTGGACTCAGGTTTGCATGCACAGGCACAAAGACACAATCGCGACTGTCATCAATGCTGGTACTTCCCACGACGAGCCTGGCCTCTTGGCGAGTGTTATTGTTGCCAGCTTCGATCGCACTGCTTGGTCTGCGACTGGCGCTCAGCAAGTTGTGTCCGGGCTCGTTAGAGTCCACCCCATACTTTAGCAGGACTTTGAGTACGTCGATGGAGTTGTTCTGAATGGCGATGTGCAAGCAGTTACGGAACACTGTCGGGACGTCACTGACGTCGGTGTTGAAACTTTCCCGGCGGTCAAGATGATCAATTAGGGTTTGACTTTTGCGGAGTAGAATTTCCACATCCTGACTCACGTGACTGGTGCGCCTACTGCGAGAGTCGCAGCTGGACTTGTCTAAAATACTGCCGTGTAAGTTGACGGGGAATTTGCTGTGATGCACTTGAAGGATTTTTTTGACACCGTAAGTATCATTCTCCTTGAGCGCCTTTTCCAGTTGCTCACACTCTGAAGACAGGTCAAATATAGACGATGCAGTGCTGCTAGCACGTCGGGGTATTCCACTTCCGGTACCTCCAAAAAACTGCCCCGGAACAGAGAGGCTGGTGGGGCTGCTGACCAGATGAGGAACAGGAGCATACTCCGGGACAGCGAGGAAGTCATAACGTAGACTGGGCGCAGGGGGCCTGCCCTGTCCCACGGGCGACGTGCTCATTGCAGCACCCCAATCTTATCTGAACGACATCATCTACAACACAGAATAAGCACACATAAAATACTTTCACGCAGGAAGGAGTTATGTATGAGTCTAGACACCAGGTGGGACAAACCTGCAATATCTTCACACCTATGGTATATGTTAACAATACCTAGACACATGAAGGGATATAAGTGGGACATAACTACCATATCTTCACACCTATGGTATATGTTAACCATACCTAGACACATGAAGGGATATAACTGGGACATAACTACCATATCTTCACACCTATGGTATATGTTAACCATACCTAGACACATGAAGGGATATAACTGGGACATAACTACCATATCTTCACACCTATGGTATATGTTAACCATACCTAGACACATGAAGGGATATAACTGGGACATAACTACCATATCTTCACACCTATGGTATATGTTAACCATACCTAGACACATGAAGGGAAATAACTGCGACATAACTGCAATATCTTCACACCTATGGTATATGTTAACCATACCTAGACACATGAAGGGATATAACTGGGACATAACTGCCATATCTTCACACCTATGGTATATGTTAACCATACCTAGACACATGAAGGGATATAACTGCGACATAACTGCCATATCTTCACACCTATGGTATACGTTAACCATACCTAGATACATGAAGGGATATAACTGCGACATAACTGCCATATCTTCACACCTATGGTATATGTTAACCATACCTAGACACATGAAGGGATATCACTGCGACATAACTGCCATATCTTCACACCTATGTTATACGTTAACCATACCTAGACACATGAAGGGATATAACTGCGACATAACTGCCATACTTTCACACCTATGGTATACGTTAACCATACCTAGACACGTGAAGGGACAAATTTACAGTTATAGACACATGAAGGGGTGTGTTTACACATATAGACACATGAGGGGATATATTTACACATACATACACATGAAGGGATATATTTACACATACATACACATGAAGGGATATATTTACACATAAAAGCACATGACGGAATATATTTACACATACATACACATGAATGGGTATATTTACACATATAGACACATGAAGGGATTTATTTACACATACATACACATGAAGGGATATATTTACACATGAAGGGATATATTTACACATATAAACACATGAAAGGATATATTTACACATACATACACATGAAGGGATATATTTACACATATAAGCACATGAAGGGATATATTTACATAAACATACACATGAATGGGTTTATTTACACATATAAGCACATGACGGAATAAATTTACACATACATACACATGAATGGATAAATTTACACATAAAAGCACATGACGGAATATATTTACACATATATACACATGAATGGGTATATTTACACATATAGACACATGAACGGATTTATTTACACATACATACACATGAAGGGATATATTTACACATATAGACACATGAATGGATATACTTACACATACATACACATGAAGGGATATATTTACACATACATACACATGAAGGGATATATTTACACATGCATACACATGAAGGGATATATTTACACATATTAACACATGAAGGGATATATTTACACATACATACACATGAAGGGATATATTTACACATATAGACACATGAAGGGGTATATTTACACATACATACACATGAAGGGATATATTTACACATACACACACATGAAGGGGTATATTTACACATATAGACACATAAAAGGGGTATATTTACACATACATACACATGAAGGGATATACTTACACATACATACACATGAAGGGATATATGTACACATACATACACATGAAGGGATATATTTACACATATTAACACATGAAGGGATATATTTACACATACATACACATGAAGGGATATATTTACACATATAGACACATGAAGGGATATATTTACACATACATACACATGAAGGGATATATTTACACATACACACACATGAAGGGGTATATTTACACATATAGACACATGAAGGGGTATATTTACACATACATACACATGAAGGGATAAATTTACACATATAGACACATGAATGGATATATTTACACATATAGACACATGAGGGGATATATATACACATATAAACGCATGAAGGGATATATTTACACATACATACACATGAATGGATATATTTACACATACACACACATGAAGGGATATATTTACACATATAGACACATGAATAGATATATTTACACATACATACAAATGAAATATACTAACTATACCCTGACACTTTAAAGGACATATTTAACATGCCTCAAGTCTTAAAAGGAGATATTGCCTCGACTCCTCCAGGGATATGCACCATGCCTAGACACCAGGTGGTATATATTTACCATACCTTCACACCTTCCACGATACATGTACCGTGTCTGGACACCATGTGGTATATATTTACCATACCTTCACACCTTTTACGATACATGTACCGTGGCTGGACACCAGGTGGTATATATTTACCATACCTTCACACCTTCCACGATACATGTACCGTGTATGGACACCAGGTGGTATATATTTACCATACCTTCACACCTTCCACGATACATGTACCGTGTCTGGACACTAGGTGGTATATATTTACCATACCTTCACACCTTCCACGATACATGTACCGTGTATGGACACCAGGTGGTATATATTTACCATACCTTCACACCTTCCACGATACATGTACCGTGTCTGGACACAATAGAGATAAAGTCCGGACAACTTATTAACCTTAAGATCCTGATAAAATAATGGCATCCCTTGACACCTCATAGGCTTTGTATATGCCACGACAGCCAAAGTATATATGTAATATACGTTAACACCTGAGCGGGTATTTGATCACACCTTGATGATATATTATCGTTTGTTGACACCCGATGAGATATATCAATCACACCTAGACACCTTTAACCATACACAAACCTTAACTGACACTTTTACAGTAACACTCGCTACAGGGAACACAAACATCTGATAGCGTAGATTATTATATTTATACAAACAAAGGAACATATTTATCCATTCTGATCTAGACACGAGGAGGGGTATATACAAAATGTTTGCTCTAATATCGCAGGCTGTATACACGTCGTTCTATATTAACAACGAGCTTAACTTCTTTCTTCTTGACAGCTTGCAAGATAATTTAATTATAAATAAGATTAAAGATATTTTTATAGTTTTCTTTCCCGTTACAATGCTAGATTGAGGTTAACTGTAAAACTAATAATAGGACACTTCAAATTCTTCAGATCATTATCATCTCAATGCGTTGAGTTTAAAAAGTAATCTGCCAAGTATTTATCGATTTTATACCGGCCGTTTATTCGCTTTGCCATAAAATGGTTTCAATTCGTGCACAGTAAACGACAACAGCTGATTAAAGAAACAATTATTATTCAATAATCTTAGATGAATATAAACATATCAAAAAATGTTGAATTGTTTTTAGTAAGAAACAATAGCTGTTCTTTATCACATGAAAGCATTGAGAGAGAGAGAGAGAGCGAGATAGAGAGCGAGAGAACGAGAGAGAGAGAGAGAGAAGGAGAAAGAGAGAGAGAGGGAGAGATAGGAGAGAGAGAGTGAGAGAGAGTGAGAGAGGGAGAGGGGGAGAGAGAGACACAGATAGAGATAGAGGGGGAGAGATAGGAGAGAGAGGGAGAGAGAGAAAGAGAGAGATATGGAGAGATAGGAGAGAGAGAGAGGAAGAGAGAGGGGAGAGAGAGACCCAGAGAGAGAGACAGAGAGAGAGGGGAGAGATAGGAGAGAGAGAGGGAGAGAGAGAGGGAGAGATAGGGGAGAGAGAGGGAGAGAGAGACACAGAGAGATATGGAGAGATAGGAGAGAGAGAGAGAGAGTGAGAGAGAGTGAGAGAGGGAGAGGGGGAGAGAGAGACACAGATAGAGATAGAGGGGAGAGATAGGAGAGAGAGAGAGTGAGAGAGAGTGAGAGAGGGAGAGGAAGAGAGAGACACATATAGAGATAGAGGGGGAGAGATAGGAGAGAGAGGGAGAGAGAGAAAGAGAGAGATATGGAGAGATAGGAGAGAGAGAGAGGAAGAGAGAGGGGGAGAGAGAGACCCAGAGAGAGAGACAGAGAGAGAGGGGAGAGATAGGAGAGAGAGAGGGAGAGAGAGACACAGAGAGATATGGAGAGAGAGAGAGAGGAAGAGAGAGGGGGAGAGAGAGACCCAGAGAGAGAGACAGAGAGAGAGGGGAGAGATAGGAGAGAGAGAGGGAGAGAGAGAGGGAGAGATAGGGGAGAGAGAGGGAGAGAGAGACACAGAGAGATATGGAGAGATAGGAGAGAGAGAGAGGAAGAGAGAGGGGGAGAGAGAGACCCAGAGAGAGAGAGACAGAGAGAGAGGGGAGAGATAGGAGAGAGAGAGTAAGAGAGAGAGAGGGAGAGATAGGAGAGAGAGAGGGAGAGAGGGGGAGAGAGGAGAGAGAGGGGGAGAGAGCGACACAGAGAGAGAGAGAGAGAGAGAGAGAGAGAGAGAGAGTGAGCATCAAATGGTCGGTCCCTTTAGAATAATAAACAGTGTGAGTGGCGGGTGCTTCCTTGTAGGGGGAACACACTTACCCTTTTCGCGAATACCTGGTGTCAGTGAACACCTTGCGATTTTCAGTGATCAATTCATACAATTTTCACCGCTATTTTGCCTTTTACGTCCAATTGAATTTGTTTTGTCGGATAATCGAGACTGGTTTTTCTCTGGCAGGGACGTTTTACATTAAGAGTCTG